AATATACAATATAAATAAAATAGATATTCTTAAGTCGTATAAATAAACCATTACAAATATATCTTAACTAATGTATTACACTTATAAATACCGAGATGTATGCTTTCATAATTCTCGGTCAAAAGAACAATACAATTTTAGCCGCACAACAAAAAAGTTCGCATTGCAATATGGATCAACCATGGGGTCTAACAAAGCAAGTTACAAGGTCCAAGAGACCAATGATGAAACTTAGGGACGAATCTACATTCATTGGTAGGGGGCAATTCCCCCCCCTCCCCCCACCCTCTCCCCCAATTTTAATTTTTTATACTATTAATATTAAAAATGTTAATTTGTCCCCCTTTAAATTTATTTTTGCACCCCCAATTTTTTGTTTTTAAACGTCACTCATCAGACGAACTTGTCCACAATTGTCAATTAATAATTCAACACTTTTTTTTTATTTTATTATCAATTTTGTATATTAAATATTATCATTCTACAATTTTAATTGGGCCATATAAAAAGACTTTAACTCTCTTTTATTGCCCTAAAAACCAAGAACCTAACCTAACCTATGAGAAAATAAACCGAACGAACCGACTTATGTGTAACGGTAATTGAGAATCAATTACCGAAATATTATCGGTTCGGTATTGGTTCTAAAGATTTTGCTTTGGAGCCATCGAATGACTCGACTTATGGAGTCGTCCACAATTATCCGCAAATGGTATATTGACACGTGTCCTGCAATAAATACACTTTGGACACATGTCAATACATAAATTCATGGATGGCTCCGAGGGAGTCAGTCGATAGCTCCATAGAATTTCTGTTGGTTCTGAACCCAATATGTCATGTCTTTTGCCTCCTCTCATCTAATTTTCTGGTTTTGCCCCTGATGAAACTACAAGTCCTACGAATGTTTCAAATAAAAGCATCGAGTCATCCTACAAAAACATGTTGAAAATAGAATGTTTCAGATAACATTCGAGACATTCAACAAAAACATGTTGGAGAAAGTATTTCACGATGCGATGCATATCTTTCAATTCTTTCACTATTGATGCATAATGAACATGTTTTTCAAACTGTTAATTAATAGTCTACAATTTATAGGTGGTAGGGTTATTGGTTTGATTCGGGCGATAAGAATTTCTACGTTTGACAAGGACTTCGAAGAAGGTAAATTATTTTTTTTCATGACGAGCATGCATTTTGTCAACTGCTTTATGTATGATAATTCTTTTATTTGTCATAACGTTCAATTATGTAAATCCATGAATAAATAAAATCCGCACATCGCATGGGTTATGCACTAGTTAACACTAGACGAACATAACTTTTCTATACAAGTAATATTTTCAAATTGAAATAATTCAAAAAAGAGTATAAATAGGAGTACGACATTCTATAGTATAAATATACATTTTTATTAAAAAATGAATTATTGACCATCTAGCGGTTAAATAACCTCACTTCTGTTGCAAATGATATTCGTAGGTTAACCTCACTTGTGCTGCAAATAACACGCGTACGTAATAGCTTCTCGAACCAAAGCCTATTCAAATATTCAAACTAAAAAGAATAGCATCGTTCTCCAATCTGGATCCACACAGACATACAAAAAAAATAAAAATAAAAACAATATTTTTCGAGGTTTATATCGTTCTGGATAAGAAAAAAATGTAGCAGTTTTTTCACTTTCCTTAGTAGAATATCATTTCAAAAAAGTTAAAGTGTTTTAATGTTGAAAAAGATGCATGCCCTAAGTAAATGTGCCAAGATTCTATTGATTGGAAGGTACATTCTCTTCAGTTTCAACCTACAGAGTGTACAAGTTTCCATCCAAGTTTTTAGAAGCAATCAATATCTCAGTCTTCTAATCGTGTAGATAACAATCCATTCCAGTGAAGACCCATCTCAATCCATTATTTTCATATAATTGCCTGACTTATAGCAAATTGTAGGCAAAAATCCAATTTTGATCCTCTAAGTTGGCTATTATCCATTTTTGGTGCACCAACTTTCCCATCATAAAAAATAGTACGTTATGCTGCAGTTTGTATCACTATTGGGTCATTATCCCAAAAATGGTTCATTATTTTTTGGGATTAATGTCCTAAAAATGATACATATTGCAACATAACGTACTGCTTTTGATGAGTAATGTCCCAAAAATTATAGAAGTTGCAACATAACGTATTATTATTGATGAGTGGAAAGTTGGTGTACCAAAAATGGACAATGACCAACTTAGAGGATCAAAATTGGATTTTTTGCCGCAATTGTATTTGAAACTTGGCATGTATAACACATCATTCAACATTACTTCATTGTTAATCACAACTTCCCTTTCTTTTTAACCCTTTTATATGTGCCACTTGGTAAACAAATATCATAGGACTCTAACTCTTGTAAATGTTTCATCATTGCACCATTAGCACATATATGCCTATTTGCACCAGTATCAATAATCCATTTTTTCCTATGTGCATTCCATAGTAGATAATGCATAATGCATGATGTTCGACTCATCATTACCTGTGAAAATCACAAATTGAGCACAGTCCATCTTGTGTTCTGCCTCTTCATTTCTTTTGATGTACTGTGTGAACTCATTCAGATGTTTAATCATTGAATCCAAGTCCATTCCCCTTAATCCTTCTCTTCACATTTCCCTTTGCCTCTGTGAAGTTTCATCACCATATACCTCTATATTATTTGCAAATCATCTTCGTTTATGTTCTTTGAGCTCTTTGTACTAATTAGGTACTCCAAGAACCTTGAAACAAGTTGCAACCTTATTACCATGCATCCCACATTTTTCATACAAAAGCCTTGTCTTCTCCTCTTTACTCAATCTACTATTTCCTCCTCTTTCTGTTCCTCTTTTGAACCTCTCCTTTATATTCCAGAACATGTACCATAACCACCTATTTTTATCATCACAGTTGAATTATCTACCTTCTTTGTACATATGTTTTAAACATCCATTTGCCTTTCAGCTGTTAAAACCATGGAATAAGTCTTATTTACACTATGCAAGGACACCATTAGCATTATTTGACTTTTGAGCTCCTCCTAATTATCACTTAGCCCCATTAGAAAATGAATAAGTTTGGTCTCTGCCTCAAGCTGTGTCATCATCTTCTTTTATCATATTCACAAGCTTGTATTGGAACTATACAAGCATACTCATCCCAAATTAAAGTTTCTTCAGTTTATTGAAATAGTTCATTACTGAACTTGTTCCTTGTGTTAGAGTAGAGATATCCTTATTTGCAAAAAAATAAACAAAAAAAAAAAAGAGTAGAGATATCCTTTTGCAATTATTCCATGGGTCAATTATTCTCCCCTTACCTTTGCATATGTCTTCTCATAATTCCTTCGACATTCCTTCATAAATGAAAGACTCTGATACGATCTTTGTGAGGGAGTTCAATATCCACCAAAGTACCATTCAACCCACCTTTCTCCTTGAATTAAATCTCTCATCATCCAGATCAGGTTTCACAATTTCTCCTATAATGAATCCGAGTTTTTTTTTTGCACCCAAAGCAATAATCATAGAACATTTCCACGACAAGAAATTATTTCCTGTAAGTTTATTCGATACTAATATCATACCAAGACCATCTGATCCATGGAGCATGAATGACTCTGGTTCCACCATGTTCACAATCGATTTTGTGTTCAACAGTGGCCATGCATTGTTTCTCCGCTGCTCCATTATTACTTCGAGCTACTTTGAGCTTCAACAGTCTCTCTTCCGCTGGAAAATGTCGATCAATTAACCAAAATCACTCCTGTTTTGATACCATGTTGAAAACACCACGAGCAAAAACAAGCTGGTTTTATGATATTTCATTCAAAATGAACGTACGTACAAATTAATTTGTCCATATGTACACGTCCTCATGTAAACACAAGTAAAACGATGTAGTATGCACTAAGCTAACGACGACATCCCAACTTAAACGAAAAATGCCAAACATAAAATATAACTTCTGAGTAATTTAAAAGACAACGAATTACAGATTAACAAATAGGAAAAAAACAAAACGACTATGAATGAACATATGGAACTTCACCATTCCAACAAGTACAAACCATTTTACTAATAATACAACCACACTGTTATTTTATTTTTTATATACATCACATCTCTAATGACAATATATTATATATATCACAGTATACTTATTATGTTCCATTCACTTGAAGTACTTTAGTCCACTGCATCTATCTCCCCTCTTTCATAATTCACCACACAATCATTAGACCAAAGACGATGAAGAAGAAAACACACTTCTTGTGTTTCAACGTTCATCCATGTATTGTATCATATTTGTATGTTCCATACAAAAAGAAAAATGAGTTGGCCATATATTGCATAGATTGATGTCATACGTGTAAAACAACAAGGCTTCACTATAGAGCTTTATCGGGTTTTACAGATAAACCGATAATAACACGATACAACCTTAAAAAAAATTAACCACACTTATGGCAATTACACCGAGTCCTTGATCAATATGACATCATTAAACATAGAATCTGACATATATATAAACATTCGACACACACGATCTCATTCTCCGTTCCACATCACCCGCGCACAGAACGACACTATTCATCACACACTTAGAGACTACACGACCTATACACTACAAAACACCATGCAATACAACAAAAGAAAAAAAATGAACAACACCATTCATCATACACTTAGAAATGACACGACTTATAAACTACAAAACACCATGCAGAACCACAAAAAAAGAATAAAAATAAAACGACACCATTCATCATACACTAGCAACGACATGACCTACAAATTACAAAACACCATGCTAAACCACAAAAAAAAA